TTTTGCATAAGAACTTCTTCTTTGTTTATGGATGCGGTTTCGTGACAGTTTTTTTATCGTTGGTATCTTAAAAATTGTTATGGATCATTTGTTGATTTCTAGTCAGGTACCAAGGTTAGACCAGTTAGCTGGAGAGTCATGAGATTTGACTGAAGACTGACAACAGAAAACGCAATGTAAAATGACCATTTTCAACAGGTTTTTTTGATAATTACCTTGTATGCGAAACAGTCATCCTTAAAATATGATTAGAACTATCAATCCTACTTCAACCGTAATTTCTTACGTACGCATTTATTAGGTCGCTTAGCATAAAATAGTAGATCCGGTGGTTGTGATTCACGAGACTATATTTTCAACAAAACAGCATGTATTCGCATGTATTCGCAGATTATGGTTTACTAGGATTCCAGAATAATCCTTTTCTTCTAAAATAAATTTTCTAATTTTAGCGTTAGAACGTTGGTTTCTGCGCAATTTGACGTCGTGTCCGAAATGACGGCATTTGCGTGTGAGTTAATCAGTGAGTGGGAGAGCGGTTCTTGCAGCAGATTGTGAACTTTGGAAAGGAATAGAAGCTAAATAAAACAATAAATTGTTTGAATGGAAGTTTATTGCTGATAAAATGTCAAAGTAAGTGGCGAAATCACTGACATACCGGAGAAGGCCTTCGTTTGCGCACAGTGAGCAAGTATTATCCTTTTTGCTGATAGGAAATACCATTGCAACAGATTTAAATAGTCAACAAATCAAAAAATGGGCCACCACATAGGCGAGGTTAGTAAACAGAGGCGGACTGACTAAGTCATAGGACAGCGCTGGACTACATACACTACAGACCCCCTATATCCAGACAAAAAAGCGGACTTGTAAACTTTAAAGCATCTGTCATAATCAGTCGAGGCTTTTCATCTGGTTACGGTATTCATCGAACTTCGAAGCAAAACATTTTGAGACCGAGAAGCCATTACTGATGTATTCGATCAGTTTGCTAATTCTAAAACTAGATAGTTGATTAAAGTTGACGTGTAGCCTAATGGATTAATGTGGGAGAGTAGGTGGGCTAACTGATGAAATGTCAACCGAAATTCCGAAATGCGTTTTAGTTTCGAAAAGATTAATTAAGTAGGGTTGTAAAGTTAGCGAGCCTACAACATAATTCTATAATATTTCAGTTACCTCAGGATGCCGGCTGCGTGTAAAAACTACACTCTGTAAAAAATGACTATCTAAGTAGCATGAATTTTCCTCATTGATTTTCGATGCCTCTAAAAGTCCAATTATATTTCATGGAAAACTTGCATTAAAATATTCATTCTTTCGCTAATTCGGCAGACAATTACGTCTTCTTCTAAATTTATTCTCGAAGGAGGGACATTATTCGGTTTTCAAAAACCTTTCCAATTCCCAAATAATTTTGAACCCGCTCTAACCTTACACTTCGATTCAGGGTTTCCAAACTACAAGCCGCACATTTGTCGCGTACGGAAAACCACACAGTTCTCTACGGTAATAAAGGGGGACCATATGGGGTTCATAAAATTAAGCAGTGGATTGGATCCATATTGTTAACTGTACGAGCCACATCGGTCAATGCAGAGACAAGACGATTTATGAACGACCATTTCACGGTATTTAAAAGTCCCACAATTAGAACCTTTTTTAAAACGGAATCATATCCATCCTTCGAGTATAACATTAGAAGAAGACGTAACTTTTTAATAAATGGGTAGAAGGATGCATGTTTTATGCACGTTTTCTATAAACTATAATTGGACATTTAGGGGCATCGAACATCAGTGAGAAAATGCATGCTACATAAGTAGTCATTTGTTACAGAATGTAGTTTCTGTACGCAGCCGGAAGGAAGTTCTTTCGAAAGTCGGCATCCTAAAGGTAACTGTGATATTATAGAATTATGCTGCAGGCTGACCAGTTTTATAATCCTGCTTAATTAATCTTTTCGAAATGAAAACGCATTTCGGAATTTCGGTTGACATTTCATGAGTTAGCCCACCTACTGTAGGAGGCTAAAAGGTCATATATTTTTTCCTCGCGATCGCAGACAGCCACCGTCCAGTTAGAAAATGCAAGCTCAGGTGAGTATACGACTTCAGCTATCCATAGCCCAGTCCTCCCAGTTTAAGATAAGATAAAGTCGTGCATTGAGGAGAAGGAGACGCTAGGCTGCGCCTGAGGGGGAATAATGAACTGGAACCGTTTAAAGTCACAGCATGCATCACAGATGCACAAGCTGAGCAGGTCGTAGCTGGCAGCCGGCAGAACAGAGGCACGCGTGCATCTGTGTAGTTTGTGTGGCTTGTCTTCAGGCAAATCGTGCCTGAGTTCTTAAATTTAAACGCACTCAAATATTGAAGTAGGCAAAAACGGCAGGATTTATTGGTACCAAAAAATTTCGCGACTGCTCTTCAGCTGCCCGAACAAGTACTCGGAAGGAAGTTTTGGGGTCGACGGAGTGACCAGTATCAAGTAGGTGTTTCGTAATGGAAGAACGCGGGATCTTATTTTCTTGTCTTAGGAGCCCCTTGGGCAGGTGTTCAATAGACCTGGCTGCCAACTGCCTTTGCGTTCGCCCAATGTACTTGCATCCGAAAATGCATGTGAATTCCTAAACACAATTTGACGTGGCGTGCATTGGCAGGGCATCCTTTGCCCGTGGAATCGGAAGTGGCTTAGTAGGACTGCAGAATACTAGTTCGGCTGCATTGTATGTCCTTTCAATGGAGGAATGTAGCCGTCGTTTGATAGTATTTAAAATATTGTCGCCCTTAAAGGGCAAAGATATAAAGACGTCGACCCCAAAACTTCCTTCCGAGTACTTGTTCGGGCACGAACAACTCGGACATTGCGTTACCTGGAGGCGGCCTATATACGACGAGTGAAACCGGATCTTTGTAAACAATTGGAACACGTGGTTAACCTAACATTGCCATGGTAGCCCCTAGCTCCATGATTCCCCTCTCTTCTCTCATTTTTTTGCTCTTTGACGTTCCCCTTTTTTCACTTTCTTCCCCTACGGTGTTTGTGTTACTAACTTTATCGATTAGCCAGCTTTACCCAAAACCCTGACCTTGCTGTTTCTGCATTGATTTTCTGTACGAATTCAAATCTGTTGTATGTTCTCACTCGTTATCTTTCTTATGAAGCGACAGGATGCAGCTGAAGAGCAGTCGCGAAATTTTTTGGTACCAATAAATCCTGCCGTTCTTACCTACTTCAGCTTCGTACCGGGGACAAAATGCTTCAAATCACTAAAATATTGGTAAATGGATCTGCTTGATACCTTTGTAGGGCACATTCCTGGCCCCGACAAGCAACGACTGTCAAATTTAACATGTCGCATCAAGGAGACGACGTCATCCGCGCTCTCCGCAACTCAGGTACCACGGAGGGCAGTTTGAATCTACGCAGCAGAATGGTCAAATGGTAGAAGGGGAGAAGAGAAGGGGGATTGAATGAGCAAGCTATAGGATCTGGTTGGCAGTGTCGTTTTCGGCGTCCCATAACGCATAGAACTCCGGTCCCTGCACTGCTACCGAATACCTGGTTCTCAGGCCCGCAATCCATCAACAAGCGCAATGACCTCCCGGTACCATATTCCGTGCTGAGGTTTTCCCTGGGCAGGGGAATCACTCACTTGAGGAGGGCGCGAGCGAGCAATTATCCCAGTGACAGTGAACCTATTTGCCGAGCAGTCGTCTTACCAGCATCCGATCACGAATGACGAAATCACGGCAATTAACGACTGGAACTCGGACTGACAAACCACCACCACCACCACATCAATTACGACGCCAGCGGTGATTGCGAGAGCTGTTACCTACAGTGCGCATACGGTCCCACGGCAGCCACGTGTTATAAATACTGCACTCCTTGCGCCACCATCACCTTTATCTTCGAATGTCTCTGATGATGGATTCGAGTAAGAATCCGAAACGTCTGGCCAATAAATTTCTTGTTCCAGTGTTCGCATCTTCGTCTTCTGAACTGCTACTTGGAACTCGCCTGTTCGCTTCTATCATTAGTGTTTTGGTTCTAAACTACAAAACCACCTACCAAAGATAACGCATTTCGTCTGGGGGGGGGGGGCTTGGATCTGTCATCAATAACTAAACCGAATTTGCGATAAGATACCAAAAAGATGTCAGTAGTGAGTGTGGTTGATGGCGTGTAGGCTGTTGAAGAAGATGACTAGGTTCTGCGGGAACCAAAAATTTTGATAGCTCATAGTGGAGCTTGAAGAAAAAACTGAATCCAAAAAACTGATAGTCTTCTAGCCCAAAATAACTTACGACGCAAACTGAATATCCCGTAATAAGACCAAACGCCTGATCCTTTAGTTGGTGTAATCTATTGGATCAATATGCAGGAGAATCCAAGATATAGCCATCAGTCTATGAAGAGAGGAAGATATGCTTTGACAGTCCCAGATGACAATATATTCGCCACTCCCAGATTCTGAAATCGTCCAAACCACAGATGCATCGCGTAAGAAGTTAAGAGATAACTCCTATAAGGAGAGGAGGGGAGAACGGAGATAAAAACAACCAATCCGGATGAAACATTGATTTTTTGGAATTTCCTTACCAGGAAAGGCAAAGCCTATATCAGGGTTCTCGAAAAGCACCCATCAAAGGGGCTGTTGGGTTTTGTTCTTCGTTTCCTAACGTTTTTTTGCGCGCGTGTGGATTGCTACTGTTTTCCCAACAGACAGGCGACCAAACTGCAAGCAGAACGTGATTTGTTACGTGTCCGAAAATTTTCGACCCCTCCGGTGTCTTGGAGCCGGACACCACTGTCGGAGGGATGGCGGCATCGGCGCACGTCGTCCAAGCTGCGAGTCAGGCTGGAGAGGGGGGGTTGTCGAGGCTGGATGGTGGCGGTTGTCCTGGGCGAGGTGGGGGGGGGCGGGAGAGAGGGGGAGGGGACAGTGCGGATCTCGACAGTTATCGACCCCCGTCACTGTGACGGGTCTGCTGCTACAGGGCTGCCGTTTGCGTCCGCAAGCAGGCCTTCTTTCGCCTACGCGGTTCCACGGTTAAAACTGCACACTGGGACTTGGTATGCCGCGGAGAGAGGGTGAGAGAGAAAGCCCGAGACCCTCGAATAATGCCGCTTTCGGGATGCTGCACTGCAAAGGTCAGCATAACAAACAAAGAGTTCTTCTTGTGATAGTCCCATCTCCTCGCTTCCTCTTCGTATTCTTCTTCTTCTACTTCTTCTTCTCCCTCCTCCTCGCCCTCCTCCTCCTCCTCCTCCTCCTCCTCCTTCTCCTTCTCCTTCTTCTTCTTCTTCTTCTTCTCCTCCTCCTCCTCCTCCTCCTCCTCCTCTTCTTCTTCTTCTTTTTCTTCGTCTTTTTCCTCTTCCTCTTCTTCTTCTTTTCTTTGGCCTGAACTGTTACCGATATATTTCAAACTGCTGGGGGAAGCGGTTTCAACCAGTTACAACTCGCAATATTGCCTAACGCATATATGCCAATTCTGTTTTAAATAGGTCTTGCTGGAACAGGATTAATGCTTACTTACACTGCTGTTAATTTCATCCGGGGGATTTCCCCCGACAGAAATATCCCGTTTTGTGCCCACACAGGCAACCTCAGAAACCGACTGGGAAGACCGGCTTTATCAAAATTTCTGAAAGATCTACACCAAATCAAACCGAAACAGGAACAGCTATGGGTGAAATAGGAAGTCTGAGCTGCCAAGTAATTCCCATATCTGGCTGTCTCTTCGACTTAAGGATTTCTTTCAGTGTAATAGGATCGATGGAAAGGACGTTTACAGGAGACATTTAGTGGCTTGTTGAAATAAACTACACCGCATCATATTTCGCGCTTGCGGTGTTGTCGTTCATCCCAGAGTCCCACGTAATTAGCCAGAGAATGCTAATCTTAAATGGGCACGAAAAGAAATACGTGAGACTGCCAATGGTAGGGAGGGTTAGTAACTAAATCAGGGCGCAGTTGTGACTAACATGCTTGACCTGAACCGTCGTGTAGACTTAAATCAAACATTTCCAGTCGACATAAGACGCCGTTTAAGCGGTAGAGGCGGTGGCCATGCAGTTAACCAATCTGGCCTTGTGCTCGTAGAAGACGCTCGTTCATGCTCTTTCAGATACTGTGCCAAAGCCGAGCTCTATGTGCTCTTTCCCTTCATAGAACCACGTCAAGTTACGGCAACAAAATACGGACACAACCCACTGGCAGAGTCCCTTCCCTTCTCGCTTCCCTCGCTCCCACCTGACAGAACTGGACTATAATTACTTCTGCTTTCTGATAAGTCTGAACGTCCTTTAAACTTCCTGCTCCGCATGCCTGTTGCTCATTGGCTGCTTCCCGATATTCACCGCCCACTTCTACAGGCCTGATGGTGAACAAGCAAAACATACGTTTGCCGACTTCAACTTCTCCAGGCAGGAACTAGTTGTGCCCTTCTACTGGCGAAAGAAATGCCCTGAGATGACGCTTGAGTGGTTTAATATTTCTAACCTCTTTTTCTTCGTTAGGCACGCCAACAAATAAATGCACTTCCGTGCATGTAATTGTAGGTTATTTCCCATTTTAATGGCCTGCTTCAAAGCAACCCGCGGAAGCTTACTTTAGCGATGCAGAACATTATTTTTAAAGCCTATGATGACATGAACATTTTTAAGTGCATTTTGTTAAAAACAACTGAGATTACATTAACAACCCACAAACTTCTTCACTTGCTTAATGCCTTGCTGCGTTTTACTTGACAGTTGCAGCCAAAACACAATGGGAGTCACAGGGGAACCGGACTCAAGCACAGACTACAGTGCCAACCGTACAATTGATGAGATAAGAATGAATCGTAAAATGATCTAGGCTTAATTGAAAGTGATCTTATTTGTGTGTAATTACTCGATGGGCAAGACAGTAGATACTTGGGCCTTACCGCAGTGTAGGATCCAACAGGGGAGAGGTCAGTTTTGGATGTGGTAGTACGACACACATTTGATGTGGTTAGTTTTGAATTTAGAAATGACTGGAAACCCAAAATTCCTTTTCTAAAAAAGAATCCAATTTAGGTGTGATTTATTCAAGGAAAACAGGTCGAGACTAGGCGAATTTTGACGTTTCTGAATATCCACGTAATTTCCTATATTTATAAGTAACGCCTATTAAAATTTATAATTCACCTTAGTCGCATTATAAGGGAACTCTCATTTAATTAAGAAACGAAAAATGTGATTTTCATGAAAATGCGATCAAGATAGGCATGTTAAAACGTATTCTTTTTATGATACAAGAAAGAATTTTTCCTTTACAAATTCTGTTTCGCAAAATTTTAAAGTTTTATGTCATTAAATACAGTGTTTGTTTTACTACACCTGGAACTGGTAGGCGCAAACGCGTATACATGAATTGCGCGCTACATGGTACCACTTTTCTGTGCCACGCCGTGCAACAAAGACGTCGAAAAAATTCCTATCGGAAGTCGACATTGAGCAGAAGGGCTGCTACGTGAATCGCTAGCTAGTATTTTCAATGTAAGCCAGACCACTCTGGAGACTTATCAATAATGAAACATTGCCTACAGCTAAGCAAGGTGGATAGGTCACGGGCTGTAGCCGGCATCCGAACGGACTCCGCAACCTCCACAGCAGTGAAAGTCTTCCGGAGCACATAAAGAGAACTGTTATGACCCGGAAGAAAGGTAGGACAGGAAGAGAGCCGGTTCGGTGGACAAACACTTTATTGGTAGCTCGCGGACACGAGGGGTTACAACTCGTCAGAAAAATGCGCTATTTATATTGGTTCCTGTGCGTTCTGGGACATTCCGTCCAATGACGTGCCAGCCGCTGGGGGCGTTCTAGAATGTCCCTGTCCCGGACGTTCTGGTCGCTGATTGGCCACCGCGTGCGCGATAGCCCCCCTCCCCGCGGAAACGTCTGGCATGTTCGACCAGCCATTGATTGGGCCGCACGCGTGAGCAAAGCCACCACACGTGCTCGGCGCTGCAGCGCACGCCGGTCGGCCGTCTAACTTCACGCGTGTCTCACGCCACCGGCTTGGTACCCTGTTCAGCGCCATTGGTCCGTGGTTCTACGTCGTTTCCACTCTCCAGAACAATAACACCCGGCGTACTAGCTGTGTCCGTCATTTCACCGACAGTATCAATAGTTTGGGACTAGTAAATTGCTGTTCTGCCTTATAAACAGGGAAGCCCTTCTCGCACGCCTCCGACTTTTAATTTTTCGACTGCAGTGTACTATGGGTGAATCGGCCCTAGCTGATCACGCGAAAAAAATGCTCACAGATCGAAGGTCATTACACGGCAAAATAATGGCCTGGTGTTTTGCTTTGGACTAAGACCTAAGTGTTTTTGCTAAGGGTTGGATACCCCCGGGCAACATTTAGGGACGGTGCGCTGCCAATAAACCTAAGGGAACTTGCGAAAAACGCACTTGCAATGCGACCCGAGTCTAGGACTAGGACACTTTTTTTTAAAATTCGAATTAAGAAGACTAGTTGGCGAGTATACGCTTGCTAATGAAACATTCTCGTCAGGCCAGCGGGAACTGGGTTAAGTAAAACATGCCAATGGTTAAAGAAAACGATTCAAGTTCGTTTTAAAACACAGGTGGGAGGACTGGGGTGGGATAATAGGACCACCCCAATGCGTATTTACCCCCACACTGGCCCCTGTGGGGCGGGTTATTTTGGTCGCTCGATTCGGCGTCTATCTAAAAGAATACGAGAACAAGTCCTAGCGTGCCGCCGAAAAACCGGAAGCAGGAGCATGAACAGCGCCATTCTCAAACATGTTGTTGATTTCCGACATGGTGTGAAGCCCTACAAAGCTCTTTGCTTGATTTGTAAGGTTCCTTCGAGCTATCCTAAGCTAACAGGCCAGAGCCTGCTATCAACAGCGGCGGCTGTCAGGTTACGAAACACGGTCTTGTGCAGGTAGAAGAACCTCGTTCGGGCCCGGCGCCTTCCTTGGTCAGAAATGAGCCCAAATTCATGCATCTCTCCGCGCCCTCACGCTCTCATCCCAACACCGGCATAACTCTTTTTACCGCCTCCTCCCCCCACTCCGCCTGTGTTTTAAGACGAACTTTAGTCAATTTTTTAATCACGGATAAAGTGGGTGACCGATCTCATGACATGTTGGGTGAAATTCTGAAATGTGTTTACGATTAGGAAGGATTACTCGGGGGCGGTTGTAATGCTGATTATCTTGCGGCATAATCCAAGAGTATTTCGAACTCGACAGGAGGTCAGCTTTCGATTACATTGATTTCCAATCTCCCGTAGCAACCGTACTCGGTAAAAATGACTACTTAATTAACATGCATTTTCCCCATTGATTTTAGATGGTCTTATACATTCAAATATATTTTATAAAAAACGTGAACTAGAATAGGCTTTTGTCACTCGTTTAATAGAGAATCACGTCATGTTTGCATGTTAAAATTGAAGAAAGAGTATAATTTGATTTTTAAAACGTTTTTTCAATGTCGAATAACTTGCAGCCTGATCAGTCTTTGCATTAGCGTCTAGTGATTTCAGTCTACGATGTGTATGCGCTCCGCGTAAAGAAAATCGCATATTTTTCCATGCTTTTAAAGGATACCATATAGATTACATAAAATTTTGCAATTGATGCGGACTATATTGTACATCTCATGAGGTGCAGCAGTAATCGGACAGGTACGATGCTATATAAATGGACATTATACGGTCTTAAAAAATTCCACAATTATAAACTTTTTAAAAACCTTATTATTCTCCTTTTAGCGTATAAAATATAAAGATGACGTGATTCCCTATCAGACGGCTGAAGGAAGGCATATTTTTGTTCGCGGTTCCTATAAAATATATTTGAATTTGTAAGACCGTCGAAAATAGATGAAAAAATGCATGCTATTTAAGTAGTCATTTTTGCCGAGTACGGTTTCTATGGGAGACTGAAAAGCAGTGCATTCAAGAGCTGACATCCTGCCGAGTCCGAAATTATATAAGATTATGCCGCAAGATAATCAGTATTACAATCGCGACCAAATAATCCTTCTTAATCGAAAACGCATTTCAGAATTTCAACCAGCATTTTATGAGATCGGTCACTCACTGGATGTTTTTTTTAAAATCCGTTCAAAGGGGACAGGAATTTAACTACATTTGGGGGAAGTCACTTGACCAGCCAACTACAGCGTATAGAATCCCACCACTGTGATACCGTAGGCTGACTGCCCAAGCAGGATTTCCCAAGTAATCAATGGAGAATTCACCACATGATTACTTATGTCTGCGAAAGCCATCGCATAGGAAATACTGTTTGTAGGGATTTGAAAAACCAGGCGATACTGTCCCGACAAGGATTTACCAAAAGCAAACGTATGCTCGCCAACTAGCCATTTGGATTTTAACACTCTTGAAGAATTCGACTGTGGTAAGGCAACTCTGGATGACCGGCGTCCAGATAACTGCTGTCTGGACGCCAGTAGGCACGAATCAGCCTGTAAGCTGGCACATTTGGAAAAGTAGAAAGCCGAGCCACGCCCTCTTATAATTATCCTAGGCAATGTTCGATAGTGAGTCCGGCGAAACCACGCGGTTGACCTTATGGACGTTATGGCGCGCCCTGCTAAAAATTGAAGGTGACAGGAATGGAGGGAAGGGAGGGGGGGGGGAAGGTAGCAGTTAGTTTGACAGGGCGAATTCCATCCGTCGGCGGCTTCGAGGCCGGCCAGTACTCGACTAGACCAATTTGCCAAACAGCCCTCCCCCGCGTCTCTCCTTCAACCGCTATTAGAGTCAAAATGCATTTTCGTATTTTGCCCATTAAGACTGCGCCGGTGTTTTGCTTCCACACGAGTTGGCGATATGAAATTTCCAGACCGGAGTAAGGTGCAGGCCTATACAGACTCACAGAGCGATGGGACAGTTAACACCGATTGCTTGCTCCCTATGCTATGACAGCCGTCGTAAGGCGAAAGTGCTTTAAACAACGACCCCTGTTAATGTCCAGAGCTGTATTTAGCATGAGTTTTCAGTATGCCGGAACCTACTCCTGTGCGCATACTGCGAACTGGCCTGCGATACACGTCATGGGGTATCTATTACGTGTTCTACTTATAAGCTCTAGGCCGGATCCTACAGTAGGTGGGCTAACTCACTAGAGGCCAACCGAAATTCCGAAATACGTTTTCGGCTAGGTCGCAGTTGGTAGCCCGGACCCGCATTAGAGGTGGCTGGGGGGGGGGGGGTTTGTTTACTGGGGTTATTTTGTGGGGCTACATAATCACATCTGACACATTTGGTTTCCGTTTTACGTTTGGGGTTAGGATTAGGGTACCGGTTAATGGTTTCCGATTTTCCGGTTAGGGTTATGCCTTTAGTCTTTGGTTTTCGGGTTATGGTTAGCGTTTGAGCGTACGAATAGGTTCCAGTATTGGGGTTAGGCTTCTCAGTTAGGGCTATGTCTAAGGACTACGGTTACGTTTACGACTTCGGCTAGGGTTAGGGTTAGAGTTGCCGTTAGGGTTAACGGTTAACGATAACGGTCAAGGTTAGGTTTAGTGTTAAGGTTGGGATTAGGGTTAAAGTCGCCGTCCGCTTCCCATTCCGGGCTACCAACTGCGATCTATCCGCGTTTCCGTTTCGAAAAGATTAATTAATCAGCGTAGTAAAACTACTCAGCCTGCAACATAATTCTATAATATTTCAGTTTCCTCAGGGTGGCGGCTTTAAATGAACTTCTTTCCGGGTGCATGCAAAAACTCCAGTCTATAAAAATGATTACTTATGTAGCATGAATTTTTATCATTGATTTTCGATGGTCCTAAAAGTCCAAATATATTTCATGGAAAACATGCACATAAATATTTATTCTTTTGCGCATTCGGTAGGAAATTACAGCTTCTTTTAATCTTATACTTAAAGGAAGGGTATAATTGGGTTTTCAAAAACTTTTCCAATTTCCGTTTAATTTTGAGCCCGCTCAACCGTTACACTTGGATTCAGGGTTTCAAACTACCGGTCGCATATTTCCCGCGTACGGAAACCCATACATTTCTCTACGGTATGAAGAGGATTCTGTATGAGGTTCATGAAATATGACAGTGGATTTGAACCATATTGTTAACTTTATAAACCACATTGGTAAATGCAGAGACATGACGATTTATGAACGGCCATTTCACCGTATTTAATAGTCCCACAATTAGGAACCCTTTAAAAACGGACTTATGGCCCTCGTTCAAGCGTAAAATTAGAAGAAAAGGACGTAACTATCTACCGAATGAGTAAGGGTGAATATTTTTATGCATTTTTTCCTTGAAATATAATTGGACTTTTAGGGGCGTCGAAAATCAATGAGGAAAATTCCTGTTACTTAAGTGGTCATTTTTACAGAGTGTAGTTTTTGCATGCAGTCGGAAGGAAGTTCATTAGAAAGCCGACATCCTGGGGCAACCGAAATATTATAGCATTATGTAGCAGGCTGACTAGTTCTACAAAGCCACTTAATTAATCCTTTCGAAACGTAAACGCATTTCGGAATTTCGGATGACATTTAATGAGCTAGCCCACCTACTGTAAAAACCAGATAAGCATTCAAAAAATCCACTGCTCTGAGATCTGAAGTATTTGTTGAATCAATTATCATAAATACAGGGAATGTTCCACGTGAAGTGACTAAATATGAAACTTCGTCGGTTGGAGCACCTTCAGGTTACTATAAATAATAGTCATTTTCCATGCATGCGCCTTTCAGCTCCTGCGCGTCGAGCATGATATGTCGGCCTTGTTTATTCCTGTTCACAAAAGCATGGTTATTTTAGAACTCAAATAGGCATGCTAGACAGCAGGCCTATCTGTCGGACGAGACTCTTCTGTTTACACCAACCAGCACGTCGGTTTCGTCCATTTGGCCTGAGTAACTGCAGTGGCAGGCAGCGCATGAAATACGGCGAATGCAACCAGACTTCCCACGTAACTCGAAAATCCTACTTGTTGCAGTGTCAGGCCACTTTTGGTAGCCGTACCTGTAGTTGACAAGCCCCAACCTAACCCCTGACCCCAACCTCTAACCTTAACTCTTATCCCTAATCCCTAGCAACTACCGCCTAAACCGAACCCCTAACAGGCACGGGCCTT